CCCGAGTCCTCACAAATAAAATATGACATTTCGGGTTTGCTTCGGGCTCGGGCCTGCAAATCAAGTTAATTGGTCGGGCTCGGGCCGGGTCGGGTTTTAATACCCGCGGGCCGGGTCGGGTCGGGCTGGATTTTTTAGGCCCGATCTCACCTCTAACGAGAAGTGAGGAGCAGAGAGAAGAGCGGAGCAGGGAGCAGGGAGAGGAGAGAGGAGAGGAGAGGGGAGCGGTGCGCGGAGATTCCGTGCCCGGAGAAGTGAGGAGCAGGGGGAAGAGCGGAACGGGCAGCGGGGACAGGAGCAGTAAGGGGAGCAGAGAAGGTTGCGCGGAGATTCAGTGCGAATGAACTAGCTACAACACGCAGCAGCAAGCGGACTCTTTCTTTGCATTGAAAATTACGTTTTCAGACATAGGATATCGCTTTCGTGTCCTGAAAAACGTTTGACTAGCTCTTGGAAATAAAGTACGTTTTCATAATAAGCAGAAGTTTCCTGTCCAGGAGTAATTTGGCGACCAATGCGTCGGTCTTTAGACCCTGCGTCTGCTTCAGTTGCGCCATCGCTGGAATGAATCTTCAAGAATCACCTTAGTTTGGCTTCGCTGCTTTTCCCCTTGTCTTCTTCTTTCAGCGACCTCAAAAACTGACTTTCTTTTGCGGCGAACTGCTCCTGGATTCTTGTCGCCATTGCAACAAACTTTGTGCGAACTGCGAGGAAGATATAGGTCAAAAAAGCCGCTAAGAACTGTTGTGTTGGTGGAGTAAACAGCGTCTGTGCGGCTTGCGTCTGTGGACTGCGTGACAGGCGTACGTAAACCACGTACCGGCAGCACGCAGGCAAGTCAGTTACGCTAGAAACGTAGGGAGATTGATTGACAACCTGTCACCTAACAGATAACGAGGCAGTGTCGTTATCTATTGGCAAATGTTTAGCTGGCCCCACCACGTCCAGAGTTGATGAATTTTTATTCTCTTTTTTTTGGTCATCATAATTACAAGGCTACTGCATCTCTATAATGCTATCATTGACAATTTGAAACAAAAAAAAATCCTCCATACAACCTTTAAGTCCAAGATTAGTCCTGGTTTAGACCTGGTTTAGTCCTGACCCACCCATGGGTTAAAAAATTAAAAATAAAAAATCAGCGAGACCATGAAAGGTGAACCGCGATATTGTGAGGGACGACTGTAGCCCCCGTAAGGTGTCCGGGTTTTCACAAATGGAAATATGGTCACCCTATACTAGTGTAACCCTAAACTGTTGTCTGTACCAGTCTCTTGAGGCTGTGGGTATGGGGGTTACACTTGGATTTGAAATGTTGTATTTTCTTGATGTCTTCCTTGTTTACAAAATACCAACACGGCAGGACAGTGTACAACTCGTTTTATTCAGCATCTTCTCTCTCTCTCTCTCTCCCTGCGTTCAGTTTTATTAAAACCCCGGTGCGCTGATCAAATGCGCTCCACTGAAACAATAGAACTACACTATAGAACTCAACATAATGTAATAATGAATTATTAATTAAATAAATGCAAAGTAATCTAAATTAATTATCAAAATAATATACAAAATAATAATTACCCAAATTAATGTTAATAAAAATCAAATAATACGTGAAATAATATGTGTCAAATTAATCAAAGGTTACGCTAGAAGTCAATAAATTAGTTTCACTTGTCACTTTTCTTTCCAAACGTTAAAAGTGGCCTGCTGTTACATCAAATCGATTTCTCATCTAACCTCTGGTCAAAGTTAAAATTAATGTTAAAGTTTAAGTAAATTCTTCCTAAACCCGGTGAACGGGGAGCGGCACGTCCGTGCGTCGGTGTCATAGCAACGCGCGGTTTAAATCGGTCTGTTTCACTTGAACGCTCGAGTGGGATTCTTAACCCGAAACTCTGCTGCTGGTAAAATACGTTTTTAGAGTTCTTAAAACAAATATTTGTTTAAAGAAAATACACTTAAAGTATCAGCACACTCTCTAATCCTAATTTGTTAACTCTTTTCAAGGTTTGCAACTGGAACTCTGCCTTCAACTCAGCCATGGGCCGCCGTGGTGAACACCTGACCTTCTTGGACCATCTTGGAGGTAAAATAAGTCACTGAAATATTCGTGAATAGAGAAAAAAATTAACGAAATGCTACAGGTTATCAACAGTTTCTACTCGGCCAATGTTAGGGTCACATGGTACCATAGGTCGAAGCTTATGAAACTGAATCATTTGAGAGGTTATGACTTTCAGTCGACGATTTCTTAATGTAGTTGAAAAATACAAAGTCAAAGGGGCCTATTTTTCTTGGTATGGGTGCAAAGTAACAGGTTATCAAAGCATTTTCTAGAGAATTGGCTTATTTTAGTTTGTAGATGTCAAAATTCATCCGCAAAAAAAAGATGGCAGCCAAAGATTCTACACTAGAATATTTGCTGAGATGTAGATTTTATGTTGAAAGTGATCATGTTATGAGGTTTTGATTGAGTTTTACTTGAGTTTTAGGGATGAATGGGATTACTGAGGTGCACTGCACACTGTCAGATGCACTACAGATTTGAGCAAGAGAAGCCAGACAGACCTCTCTGTTTAGAGTCTTGTAGGCCTGTATATAGACCTAAAACCTTGTTGGTATAGTAATATTTCAGGATGTGAGCCAAGGAAAAAGGAGTTATAGGCTACTAAATTGCACTGACTAGCAGCTCTTGTCTTTCTCTGTTTTTATAATTAGGCTGTGTAGAATCACTTGTGTGTAAAAGTTTGTCTGGCTCCTTGTACCATCTACACAACAGCAGGAAAACCTTTGTATGGAGCAAGTTGTTAAAGTTGTAAAATTTTGCAGCGCCTCACGACGTGTGGTTTCCTCCTGTTGTGGATGTCCCGCCAGACGAGGGCGACGCAGGTGTGGCGGCGGTAAGTATGCCTTTTGGTTTTGCGCGTCTCTTTCCGTTTTGGACAGAGGAGGTGCAAGGACAAGAGGAAGAGGAGGAGGATGATGAAGAGGAAGTGGAAGTGGGCTGGAGGGCTGAAAAGGAAGAGGACTGGAGCGAAGAAAAGGAGGAGGACTGGAGTGAAGAAGAGGAGGAGGACTGGAGCGAAGAAGAGGAGGAGGACTCTGGCTACGACAGTGTCTCCGAAGAAGACAGTGACGAAGATGAAGATACGGACGTGGAGGCGGAAGAGGATGACCAGGTTTTCCCTCCAGAGGAGTTTTGGGCCGGCTGGCACCAGAGGGCTCCTCCTGCTCAAGCTGTGGAAGTGGTGGGTCATCGAGCAGAGAGCCCTTCTCCTCCGTCCAGTCGCATCTTTGAAGAGGAACGTCGCCCGTCTTCTCTCGCTGCTGTCCCCCCTGCGCCCTCCTGCAGTCCTGCTGCTTGCCTTCCCCCTGTGGGCCCTGCTCTGGACGTCCTGCGTCTCGGTGGATCCAAGCGCCACAGGGATGAAGGTGAGGATGAAGAGGGAGACCCCAGCTCCAAGAAGCTACGCCTTTCCTCGTCTGAAGACCACTCCCAAGGCCCTGCGCCCTCCTCATCTTCTGGGACGACTCTGAGCCTCCCGTGGTACTTCCGCCCCCTGCTCCAAGACCCTGAGTCGGACGATGACTGAATTCAGTCTCTGAGACTCTGGGCTTGGTCACATCACATCGGCAACATTTACCACCTTCAACACCGCCGATTTAATCTCATGTATATAGTTTTTCAATTTATTATCTTAGCTGTGTGTTAAGTAGTAATAGACAGTGTGTGCCAAAATAATTTTTCATCTTCTGTGTGAGAGAAAGCAAGCAATAGTATGTAGGATTTCTAAAACTTGAAATTCTGAATAGTCTTAAAATAAAAAATAAATAAAAAAAAGTTAAAACCTGATCAGTAAGTAAATAGTGAGAGATAAACCAAATTTACGATGCAGTGTCACAAATGTCCTGCATAGTACGCCTTTGCATTCTACTCTGGGCATAGGTGGTGTCGTAGTAGTGGGGTCGCTGGTGCGATTCCCGCTCGTTTGCTGTGTTTGTGTGTTGAAAGAGAAGGAATATTATGTAGGAACGTAACAGACACAGCACAAATAAATTCTGTAAATCTCCTCAGTGATTAAATTCTAATTGAGAAAAAAGACAGTCTGACAGTTATGTGTCGTTTCCTGCATAGTACGCCTTGCCTTGTGTTTACTTTGAGCTGGTTCCACTCTGGCCATAGGAGGGTTAACTACTCAACTCATTAATATTATTTTTAAAATAATAAATAATATTCATTTTAAGTATAACTTAATTAATTTTAAGTATAACTTCAATTAAATCCCTCACTGGAGGAAATATTTCCCTGTCTTCGTTAGGAGACTTGTGTTTGTCCACTCATTCAGCAGTTGGTCAGACACTTTTTTGTTTTGTTGTTTTTTGCTTTTTTTTCAGTAATTGCAATTTAAGGTTGTATGTAGATTTAGCACAACCATTGTCAGCTGTTGGGACACTCCCTACTTCTTCTGTTTAAGTTGTTGTTTTATGATTATTTGTACTACAAGTAGTATACAAATGAACAAATGTATACTATATTGTAACGTTACACTCCTGTAAACAGTCTCTGTGGAGATTGTATTTTTATTTTATTTTATAATGATTTGTAAGATGTGGAGACTTGGATTTGTCCAATCACTAGAGAATTAGTGGGACACTCAGTTTCTCTCTTTTTTTTCTTTTGTTGGTTTTGTTTTTTTTTATTTTTCAGGAATTGTAATTTAAGGTTAATATGTAGATTTAGCACAACATGGTATTTAGAACTAAACCGTTTACACTACATGTGTATCAGTGTTATTGTGTCTATTCTGTAAACTATTAAAACTGATTTGTAATGTTACACTCCTGTAAACAGTCTCTGTGGAGATTGTATTTTTATTTTATTTTATAATGATTTGTAAGATGTGGAGACTTGGATTTGTCCACTCACTAGAGAATTAGTGGGACACTCAGTTTCTCTCTTTTTTTTTCTTTTTTTTCAGTAATTTGTAAAATGTGGAGGCTTGGGTTTGTTCACTAACTTGTCGGCTGGTGGGACACTCCCTACTTCTCCCGTTTAAGTAGAATTTTAATTGTGTTTACATGATACAAAACTGTACTTGCTTCTTTGCACAGCGTATCAGTACGCAAAAGCCTCTGTTTTTCAGGATGGTTGTTCATTTAAAGGAGGGCCTAAACCAAAGTGCATCTCTATAGTATTTGTGGATTAATCCCACAGAAGGAGTGTAGATGCGCTCTTAATACTCTCTTCCTAGTTCCATAAAAAGGGCTTTAATTGGGGGGCAGGCCGCTGTGTAAGTTTGTCCAGAAATGTGTTTGAGTCAGATCCACCGTGTCCCTGGTGAGTAAAGATCAATAAGGTAATATTTGTATTAATTGCTAAAGACTGTTGTTTGCTTTTAAAAGAAAGGTGCATCTCTTTTGCTTTTAACAGAAAGGTGCGTCTCTGTTGGAGCTATCCCTGGAGTCATCCACAAAATGCAGTGAACCACCACCAGAGAGAGCCCTGATTCTAACGTCAGAACACAAGGTATTCTGAGAAAATGAGACAAACAATAATGAAATAATGATAAATAACGTGTTTTTTACTTTTATTGCAATTTTAGGATCCATAATCATCGTCATCTCTGCTAAGAGGTCTACAGCTACAATGACAGATGATCCACAGACCTCTGTAGGTTCTTATTTGAAAGTACAGTTTAAATCTGTGCGGTAAAGTAGAATATAAAGTTACACTGAACTTGTGTTTTAGGATCCAAAAACATTCCTGGAGTGTGGCCCATCAGATGCTGTCGCCCATATGAGAGGAAGAGGTGAACGAGGCCTGGTCCAATAAGAGACTCGGCCCAACACATGGGAGAAGGCCTTCAGTCTGTGTAATCTGCTGTTACTCTGAAGTTCAGTCTAATCTAAACTAAAGCACCATTCCTGATGAAGATCTCCAGAGGAACGAGAACCTCCAACAAAACTAAAGCACCACTCCTGATGAAGATCTCCAGAGGAACGAGAACCTCCAACAAAACTAAAGCACCACTCCTGATGAAGATCTCCAGAGGAACGAGAACCTCCAACAGTGGTGAGAGAAAAGAACCTATACTAAGTTTTTGCAAGTTTTACAACAAGATTTTTACTCTATGATCCCTGTGTTTATATTGTGACTGTGCAGGTGCTGAGGGGCACATTGGACCTGTGAATTTAATGGAGGAACAAAAAGAAACAAATGGCTTTTGGAGGACTCAAAAACAAGTCATGAAGCTCATCAAAAGACTGCACGCCAAGAGAAAAATGACAGTGACGATGAGACGGACTACAGGAACGATATGGGACATCTGGCCTCATGGTGACACCCAAGGAGATTATTGTGGACTTCAACAAAAATGGGCAAGATAACCACCAAACTCTGTGTCGGCACTGAGGTAGCAGAGAGGGTGATCGTGACTGAGGACCTGTCCTGACACATTCACACTGCCTCCGCTCTGGGGAAAGCCCAACAACGCCTTTACTACTTGAGGAAACTGAGGAGCGCCAACATCCCCAGTCCAGTGATGGTGAACTACTACAACTGTGCCATCAGAAGTGTTCTGACATCTGGATTTTTAGTGTGGTTCTCTGCTGCTCTAAGGCCCATCTACAGGCTCTCCAGCGGGTGGTAAAAACAGCAGGGAAAATCACTGGGGCGCCTCTCCTTCAGATCAGTAGCATCTACGCCACTCGCGGTCTGCCTGACCGACACCACTCTGCTCATCACCTTTTCCACCTGCTGCCCTCAAGTACAAAGTACAGGTCCATAGAGTCCAGAACAACCAGACTGACCAACAGCCTGTATACCTCGGCTGTGAGGATGCTGAACAGTGCCCCTTTCCCCTCTTGGCCTTTCTCCCTTGGACAATAACCACATCCACCAATAAAATATTGAACTGGACTTTCCATTGTTGCATTATTACAATTGTGCTGCACTGAATGTCCTTATTGTGCAAATGTTTACACTGGAGTTATTTAAGGGGTTATTGGGTGGGGTCTTGCACCTGTAGTATTGCACTTTACATCCAAACTATGCAGTGTTTGAAGCTCTAAACGTATTTTTGTTGTTTTCTCTGACAGTGACAAAAAAATCTCTTGAATCTGAAATAAATAAAGATAATCATCTAAATCTTTCCTTATTGTCTAGTATATTAATAGTGTATTTATAATATTAGCTCTTTGACACTACATGGCTAATGGGAATACGCTAAGGCTGCAACTGATGATTATATAGCGATATAGCGAGGGATGACTGTAGCTCAATGTCGAGGCTCCACCTCCCCCCCAGTAAAGTGTCCAGGTTTTCACAAATGGAAATATGGTCTCCCTAAGATAGATAGAGAGATAGGTATATCAACAGACAGATAGATAGTACTTTATTGATCCCCAAGGGGAAATTCAGTATTCAATATTTGTAATTGATCACCATGACAGGGTGGACTTAAGTTTGACCTCCTAAAACAAAATGATGATTGTGGAAAATCTGTGGACTGGAGTCTGATTCATTTGAGTGAAATTGTCTCTAACTGAGCTATCACATCAGTCTGTCTCTGAGAGGAACAGTATTATTTTAAAGTGCATGTATCCTTTTTTTTTCTTGCCCCACAACAAGCAGATTTTGACTGCTGTTTTTTTTTTTTTTTTTTTTTCAGTCTAGACCATTTCTTTACTTTACAAATTTCAGAGGCATTCATCATCTTTGTGTCTCCATTGCTCTTGAGTCATTTCCTGTTTGGATCAAAGAGGACATTCATGTTTACTTTGCTCCTGATGGGCTTTTTCCCATAGTTCTCTTCTGTTTTCAGGAGTGCGGAATGTCGACACAAATGTACTCAAGATAACAATGAGGTTAAGTCAAAGTAGGAAGTACATATTAATTATTGCAGTACTCAGTGAACGAAAATACTCAAAAACAAAATATTAGATTCACATTTTACTTTTGAGGTACAAACCAACAATGAAACTTTATTATAGGTCTTATTTAATAAATTTACATTCAGTTAACAGTGGATTCTGTTTTTTTTTTTCAAACTGCAGAAGCTCATAACATCAAACATTAATTAATTACAAGCCTGCAAAAGCGCTATCTGTACCAATTCTGCCTGTTTTAACCATTATTCATCAAACAACAAAAACTGCCACAGTAAAAAAGACAATTTTAAAAGATTTTAGATGTCATCCATGCATGTTTCAGTATTTTAGCGATCTCTCTTGGGCCATATTCAAACCCTTTTTACAGTTAGCAGTAAGATTCTGCCCAAAGCTCAGCTCACAAGCCTACGTCATCCTTGCTCCCACATGACAATTCTCCAGAAATAAACCAAAACATGATACAAAACTGTGCACAACAGCCTCTCAAACCTGATGCAATGTGTAGTAGTTTCTTTAGCAGGATGTACGCTGATTGTGTTGTGATGACATTGTGAAGGACTGGAGTGTCGTGGTATTTTCAAAACAAAGGGTAACAATATAGTGATCTAAATATATTCCATGTTAGCAGTTGATACCCCATAAACATGAAATTGCCCCATTTTAAAAGTTTACAAATTTTAAAACCACAAAACGTGTCTCCTTTATCCATTTTGCCCAATTCCATTTTGTCCTTGTTCTTCTGTTTCTGGCTCACACTTTTGTACATGCCAAAATTAAACCTTAAATTCTCGTTCTTGTAAATTGCTGCTTAAGCTTTGAAATGCGCAGGATTAACCGTTTCAAGAACATTGTAAGTTTGGCCCGGGGACAGGTCAGGCAATATCTAGGCCAAGAAGAATCCCTTCATATGTCGCACTATAATGCTTTGAATAGCCGCATTCACTCTCGTATGGAAATAGATCATTAAGTAATAATACATGGGACCGTATGGAGCCTATAGGCGACACAAATGCAAGGTCAGGATATAGAAACACTGAGGAGGTCTTGAATGTAAGGTTTCATTTTTAGTGTAAAGCAAATTGAATAATCCTTTGGTGGTTGTAAGGTTTTTAATCAGCTCACAGTGAGTAGGAGGAGAGTGACGCATCAAATCCTCCAGTGAAATCCTACACAGTTTCAGAGGCCATTTTCTGTTGTTGAATATTTCTATGCACATTCTTTGAAGTGGGAGAGATAATTAAACATGTAATGAAGTAAAATGGCTTTCAAATGATCATAATTTATGCATAAGTGGTTGGTGTGTCTTTTAGTCAGATGTATTATCTGTTGTGAGTTTAATTGCATTTATTTTAGTCTATTGAGCTCATTTTAGCTTTTCCCAATTTTTTTTCCAGTGGGTATTATAGTAAAACATCTGATGCATATGATGTTTTGCCCCGTGACATGTCCATTCAAGGGACGTTTGAGCTTCCTTCGCTCCAGATGCTGGGTTAATGCTCACTATGTCATATCTACTTCTCACACGATCTCTGAACAGTGTTTTATAACCTGCATATTTTAACCGGATCAGAAACAATCAAATCAAATCCAAGTTTATTTATAGAGCACATTTAAAACAGTTACTTTAAAGTGGATTTAACTGGGTACATAATAGACCAAACCAAGATTTCACAGGACCAAACCAGGATTAGGACTCAACCAGGACTAGGACTCAACTAGAACTAGGACTCAACTAGGACTCAACTAGAACTAGGACTCAACCAGGACTAGGATCCAATCAGGACTCAACCAGGACTAAGACTCAACCAGGACTCAACCAGAACTAGGATCCAATCGGGACTCAACCATGACTCAACCAGGACTAGGACTCAACTAGAACTAAACTAGGATTAGGACTCAACTAGGACTCAATTAGGTCTCATCCAGGACTCATCCAGGACTCAACCAAAACTCAAACAGGACTAGGACTCAACTAGAACTAGGACTCAACCAGGACTAGAACTCAACTAGGACTCAACCAGGACTAGGACTCAACTAGAACTAGGACTCAACTAGGATTAGGACTCAACTAGGACTCAACTAGGTCTCATCCAGGACTCATCCAGGACCCAACCAAGACTCAAACAGGACTAGGACTCAACTCTAAGAGTCAGCTAAGACTAGGACTCAACCAGGACTCAACCAGGATAAGGACTCAACTAGGACTAGGACTCAACTAGGACTCAACTATGACTAGGACTCAACCAGGACTGGGACTCAACTAGGACTAGGACTCTATTCTAGGACTCAACCAGGACTAGAACTCAACTAGGTCTAGGACTCTTCTCTAGGACTCAACCAGGACTAGGTCTCAAATCTAGGAGTCAACCAGGACTAGGACTCAACCGGGATTAGGAGTAAACCGAGACTCATCCAGTTAAATGTGTGTGTTTCCGTATCCAGGCTGCTGCTGCTTGGTGTGTGTGGCGTGTGACAGAGGCTGAGGAGCCACAGAGGAGCTTATGCAAAGAGCCGTGACGATGACGTGGATCAGAGCAAAGAACAGAGACACTGAAAGAGCAACTCACGCAATAACAGAGGCAGCCTTACAGTGACGCAAATGTGACAGAGAAAACAACACAAGACAAATGAGAATGCGGGTGATTTGGGAAAGCAGAGGTGAGTGGTATAGAAATAAAGCATGCAGTAAATGGACCATAAACTTCAAAGAGCTCTATTATTACAAAAAATATGTTGACATTGAAATGGGGCTGCGTCTCAATTCTCTTTCCTCGATTCTTTCTCCTTGATTCGTCCCCTCGATCCTCCATTTTTTGGCTGTCGATCAAATGCAATGCTAAATCATATTAAGTGTCCCAAAGCTCAGAGGAGAAAAGGGAAGGAAACCACAGAGGAAACATAAGAGAGGAGTCACAATACATCAAATAATATAACTTTTTGTCTCACAGTGAGGACTTTAAATTGTTGTAACAACACACGTACAGGGAAAGCAGCAAAGGATGTGAATGTGAGAAGATGTTCAAACACAGTTATCTGAACGTTGGTCTGACATTGGTTTAAAAGTCCTGGAATAATAGAAATAAAATAAGACTGGGTATAGTCCTCACTACACGGTCAGTTTGGTCAGAACCAGTGCCTGAGGAAAGGCTTGACTCTCAACTTAGTGTGTCCTCCATGCCTCTCTCCTCTACTCCTCTGCTCCTCTCTCTCCTTATCCTCTGCTCCTCTCTCACCTCTGCACCTCTCTTCTCTCTCCTGTCTCTCCTCTATTCCACTCTCCTCTGCTCCTCTCTCTCCTCTCTCTTCTCTGCCCCTCTCTCTGCTCTATTCCTCTCTCTCCTCTCTTCTCTGCTCCTCTCTCTCCTTTCTTTCCTGTCTCTGCTCTCTCCTCTGCTCCTCTCCCTCCTCTGTTCCTCTCTCCTCCCTCTCCTCTGCGTCTCTCTTCTCTCTCCTGTCTCTCCTCTATTCCACTCTCTCTCTTCTCTGCTCCTCTCTCTTCTCCTCCTCTGCTCCTTTCTCTGTTCTGCTCCTCTCTCCTCTCTCTCCTCCTCCTCTGCTCTCTCTCCTCTACAGCTCTCTCCTCTCCTCTTCTGCTCCTCTCTCTCATCTGCTCCTCTATCCTCTGTTCCTCTCTCCTCTGCTCCGCTCTCTCCTGTCTCTCCTCTCTCTGCTCTGTTCCTCTCTCTCCTCTGCACCTCTCTCTTCTCTCTCCTGTCTCTCCTCTATTCCACTCTCCTCTGCTCCTCTCTCTTCTCTGCTCCTCTCTCTCGTCTGCTCCTCTCTCTCCTCTCTCCTCTGCTTCTCTTCTCCTCTCACCCCTCACTCCTCTATTCCTCTCTCCCCTGTTCCTCTCCGTGTCTCCTCTGTTGCTGGGACGTCCTCACCCTCCTGTCCTGCAGAATCAAGGCGAGAAGAATCAAGGAGCCATTTTCAACGGGAAATTGAAAATGAAAAAAAGATGCATTAAATGGAAACATATTTATATCGAATCTTGT